GGTGAGGGGGGTGACAGGGTGAGGGGGGGTGAAAGGTGGGGTGCAGGGTGAGGGGGGGATCAAAATGTACCTTTTTCCCTGGTGGTCCAGTGGGGTCAGTCTGGATGGCTCCCTGGTGGTCCAGTGGGCTTTCCGGTCTGCAGCTCCGCCGGATGCAGAGCTGCAGACCACATGGGGATTGTCTCGCGATCTCCAGTCAGAGCGTTGCCGTAACCCACGGCAACGCTCTGATTGGCTGGAGAGCGCGAGACACCTCAGTCTGCAGCTCACACCCGGCGGAGCTGCAGACTGAGGCCGGCTCTATCCCCGGGCGGACTGACAGGAGGGGCCTCGCACCCGGCGGCACAAAGGGCAAGCCGCCGGGCCCCCTCCTGTGTCGGGTCCTCGGTCATAGACCGAGAACCCGACATGTCAGTCTGACCTCAGGCGATTTAGGCGGCCGCGAGGCCCCTGACTGTGCGAGGCCTTAGGCGGCCGCCTAAATCGCCTAATTAGAGAGCCGCCTCTGGGAACAAGGAAGGGGACCTAATGTCCTCTCCACTGGCCCCCACTCCTGAGCGGCGGGTGTGGGCCCTAAATAAAAATGTTACCCCCCCAGGTGACTAGGGGTCCCCAAACCCCTAGTCACCCCCCAAAAAAAAAATTAACTCCTACTTAGCCCCCTCACCCTAAAAATAATGAGGGGGGACCTTTAACCCCTTAAGAACACATGACATGTGTGACATGTCAAAATTCCATGTCAAAATTCCATGTTATTCCAGAAGTTTGGTCCTTAAGGGGTTAAAGCTTAATGAAGTGGTCTGGGTGCCAGGTCCTTCTAGGGTTAACCCATTTTTTCATAAACATAGCAGTTTCAGAGAAACTGCTATGTTTATCAATGGGTTAAGCCTTCCCCCATTCCCTCTAGTCTAGTAGCTGTCTCATTGACAGCCACTAGAGGCGCTTGCGTGCTTCTCACTGTGATTTTCACAGTGAGAGCACGCCAGCGTCCATAGGAAAGCATTATGAATGCTTTCCTATGTGACCAGCTGAATGCGCGCGCAGCTCTTGCCGCGCGTGCGCATTCAGCCCAGGAGGAGGATCGGAGGAGGAGAGCTCCCCGCCCAGCGCTGGAAAAAGGTAAGTTTAACCCCTTTTCCCCTTTCCAGAGCCGGGCGGGAGGGGGACCCTGAGGGTGGGGGCACCCTCAGGGCACTATAGTGCCAGGAAAACAAGTATGTTTTCCTGGCACTATAGTGGTCCTTTAACTAAGTACTTGTAAAAAAAATTAAACTTACCATTCAATGTTTTCTTTCTTCTAAGATCTTCTTTTTTCAGCCCCCAAAAAGGTAAAATAAAAAAACCCATAATAACCGACGCAAAAAAAAACAAAAAAAAAAACGAGCGCCCCCCAAAAAATCCATCTTCACCTGGCGAGGGCTCCGCGCAGACTGAGCTCTGCAGGGCGGGGAAGGCTTATAAAGCCTTGCCCTGCCTAGCAATTAGGCTCAGAGCACTCTGATTGGTGGGTTTAAGCCATCCAATCAGAGTGCTCTGACAGGTAAGTCTCATTTACCTGTCACAGCACTCACAGTTGGTTGGCTTAAATCCACCAATCAGAAGATGCTTTCTATGTCATTACACAGCGTGGGAAAGTTCTTGGAATTTTCCCACG